ATATCTCTGAAACGAAGCATTTTACAAATTTTATGTACCTCCTTTAAGGGGCTGTATCTTAACAAAGGATGCTCCAATGAAATAAAAAAAGGATCTGAAGCTTTTTAACTTTTATTTAATTATATCTGTGTTTCAATATTCAAATGCATCCGAATCTTATTCGTATTGTTCACCATTGGAGTCACTACACAGGAAAAGGTCTGCGTTGTTACCACACTCTTTACGTTAAGTACTATTAGTACTTGTCCAAGGACGCCACATTTTGGACATTTAACAAAAATTATAAATAATTATAACTGCACCAATATCGAATTTCAACACTCAAATCGCGATCAGTTCTTGAACTGAACATTGACATCATGACGGCTCCCATTATATTCGTCACCGTAACATGACTTCTAAATTTAATTATATGAATCTTCGGCCAATCATAAAACTCGGTTAGTAAAAATCATCCAATACGAACCACCAATTTTTCAGTCCACGTGGACTAGTTGACAGCGGCTTTATCTCTTTGTATTGGTTTTTTTGGCCTTCGAGGGCGCCGACACTTTAAATATGCACAATACTATACTTGTTGATGTCAATTTGTATACTTAACTGTAAAATGAATAGAAATAATAAAAATAAACAATATGGACTTTGAATAAGTGTGCATTCTGATTAGGATTTATTTGGAGTATTACTGATATGAAAATATAACTTTGAATAATTGTTATCGTACAATCTACAAGTTGAAATTGGCAAAAAAGGTTTCTTTGTGTACAAATCTCCTCGCAAACATAAAATGTTACATTGTTACCAAATGTGGTCGCAGGAACTGGTCCCAAAATGTCAACGGCGATTCTTTCGAAAAGGCATCCAGTGAGTTACCGCTTCAATTTTTTTTGTTCTTCGTAGTTTTGTATTCGGACCCTTTCTTGAAGAGCACCGGTCACAGCGCTTGCACCGCTCCTCTACACGCGTCGGTGACAATTGACCTAATAATACCTCTCACGCACTCTCGCCAAAGTTCTGTTTACTCCGAAATATCCTCCACTACGACCATCGTGTAGCAGTTTCAGTAAATGTTCCGACCTGAAGCCAAACTGCTTTTCCGGTGGGATATTCAGTTCGTCGGTCTGCATCTCAGTCTTATCAGCTTTCTGCTACCTTGGCCGATGGTTGTATGTCTTTGACTCTCTCCAGGGATGTGGGGGTTAAGTGTTTTCCTTTCATGGTCGTTTGATTCTGTGTTCGTCTGTTTGACCTGTTGTACGATGCTTTCTACTTTGCCGGTAAAAAAGACATCATTCTCTATGCAAGTGTCGAAAAACACTCTTGATCGGTGTATTGGAGGACATGGTTATCAACGGCCATACCTCAGTTCTTTCTGCTATTTGCAGTTTCTATGCAGATTGATTATCGACATTTCCATGCCTATATACACTTGTGTTTGATTTGGGTGTAAGATAATAAATCGAAATTCAAAAATGACTACTGCACAAGGCAAAAAATCATCTTCTTTCTATGCATGGATCAAAAAATACAAACAAGTCATACATTTCAAACTTAATTGTCTGGAGTAATTGGAGCTGCAGTAAAGTAAATAAATTAAATGTTGTAAACATATAGGAGTATGGCTGTTTTATATCAGGTAGGTAGGTACGCTTATGTTCACACCCAGCATTGGTACAGTCAACAGGAATTCGAATTCAACTGTTGAACTTTAAAAGATTGCGTTCATTGTGCGTGGGTGATCTCTAAGCCACATCCTGATATTATGACAGCAGTAGAAAGTTAGCATCTTTATTCGTTGTTTTGAATATCGATTTAACAGATTTTTTTAGTTTTTCATTTTAATAAAATCCACGCAGATTCTGCTTTCATATAGAACAGTGGTTCCTAATCTTTTCAATGCCACTATCCCTGTGAACAACTATGGGAATTGAGTTTACCCCTAGCTAATTTAAAATAATTCAACCACACGAATTCGAACAAAAATATCTTTATTAGGTAAGAAGTTGCACGTTTAGGTAACTAGTGATATATAAATCTTGGACTCAACTAGTGTGGAAGTTGATAATGCTTTGCATTCGCAAGTTTAATAATATTAGGCTCGGTTTCATTCAACGCGCATTTCATGTCATGCTCCAAATTCAGACGGTTTCTGGTTTCTCTACAGGAGTCGAGAAACCAGTTTCACATTTGTAAGTTGTAGCAAGAATCGACATTTTTAAACCTCTGTCAGCTATAATAATATATTCTGTAGCTGCTTTTCGCCAAAATGTGCCGAGTTCATCATTTTGAAAATCAACTGTCAATGAGTTATCCTCCCGTAATCCAAGAAACTCTACTTTTGCTGATACATCTTCGTCCTGCGTCCTTGCGATTTTATCCTGCAACGTCAAAATGTTTGTTTTATTTCCTTGCAGTGAAATATTCAGAATATTAATTTTACTGAAAAAATCAGCAAGGTACGCCATCGTTGCTATAAATGTTTGGTCTTTAATTTTTGCATAATATTCTTTTTCTTTTTGTATTCTCTGATTTTCAAAAAACAATCCAATTTCTTTTCGTAGTTTGTAAGCTCTACTTAGAACTTTCATCGCACAAAATTTACCCCTGCGGGGGTAATTACCCCCAGGTTAGGAAACACTGATATAGAAGAACTACAAAACTCTTCTCGATAGGCGTTTCACCAACTATCTTGGCATCATCAGCAAGAAAAAACTGGAAAAGTAGGATATCGAGCATTCAAGTATCACTTATTAGATAAACACTCGTACTGGGGTGTAATACCTAGCGAAAGCTATGTATGGTAATCTAAATTCTATCTTCAGGAAAAGAATGATTTCATTAATTCATAATTTTTTTAAAGGCCGGATCTGTCTCCCATACAATGTAAATTACGGCAAGACCGAGATTGTTTACATAAACAAGTTAGATACCTATATCTTTCACGTAACTCAAGATTGTGAATACGGCCATATCATAATCCCAGCATTGAAAGTTTTGTCAAGTCATCGAAATATGTTTTCTGATGATTTCCGTTGCACGTGGGCGAGGGTTAGAAAGAACGAGTCGGAGGGGACAATGAATATCCGTGATGAGGTTCGAAAACTTGAGTGTTTGAAGGATTCTCTTGACGGTCAATCAAGGACTGTATTTTGTTTTGGGAGACAGTTTTCCTGGGTGGAATCTTTAATTTTGTTATTCTTGAAAAACAGGCGGTTAGCGCGATATTGGGTAGTCGTTTATTCTGGAGCAAAAATTGAGCAGTGTAGTCAGGGCAGTAGCAAAAAGAAAAACCAGGGGGGGAGGAAATCCAAATTTTCCCAACCCCACCATCAAAATTTCCCAACTTTGGAAAAAACGAAAGCCAAGGGATTAGTTACTACTATAATATATTCTGTTTCTGTTTTTTCCGTTAACCAGCTGTCGCACCCCTACGAACGACAACCCTCAGAAGTCGAAACTTGTGCGAGCTAAGGATTAACGAGGTCTTACCTTTTAACGTGTGATACCTCACACGGGTTGGATGATAGCAAGTGAAGATCGACCACCGACCAACACGGCAGTCAATTCGAGTGAGTGAACAAAGCACCCACGCCGAACCGCTTGGCTACCGACCGACCATATTAATTTTCTTACTTATAGCTATCCAAAGATTGGCTGAATGCTTATGCCCGTTAGGGTATGCACAAACAAAAATAAATTTTGGTAATTATGAAAATAATAATGGGAATTATTCTACTTTGGACCAAGGTCCTTGTTCTTCCACAATATCCACCATGTATAGAAATATTCAATACAAATGAAAGAAAACAACACAAATAATATTGTGCTTATTGTTTTCTATTATTATTTTTTCTATCTTCACGGCCCGTAATTTCCCAACTTTTCTAAGTCGAAAAAACAGCGAAAAGTTGAGAATTTTGTAAAATTGTCACTTCAAAATTTATGGACTGTCTCTTACTTGGGAGAAATTGAACTTCTTGAAGTTTTCAAACAACTCAGAATTTCAAAGTATGGGATCTCCAAGTTATGCATGTTGGAAAATCCCAAAATTCTCCTGGTTCTGTCCCTTTTCTTATCACCTCTCCCTTTCTTTTCTCTCATTTTTATTTTTTTAATTTTTTTTTCATTTTTTTACTTATTTTTTTCTATCTTCACGGTCCAAAATTTCCCAACTTTTTCCCAAGTCGAAAAAGCAGGGGGGAGGCTCCCCCATTCCCCCCATGGCGACGGCCCTGATGTAGTGCAAAAGTTCAAATAGAGGACGAGCAGGAAAAAATGCAGCGGTGAGTTAAATATACATGTGTACTAACCATTTGATGATTTTGGAAATGAGTTAGCTATAATAAATTTGTATACAGAGTGGACCTAATAATTTCCTTATAGATATTTAGCGGTCAGGAATCATCGGCCAAGTTAGAGTATTTCGTCACTCTCGTATATTATAGTAATTGCCAGCGAAGGCATAAATATTGAGTTTAATTTTTTTCGAGATTTGGTTATGATTATTGTTTTTTAATTTTTTTTGGTATTTTTGTGGCTATTTTGTTGTATATTTTTCCTTTACTTCCTTTATTATTGAATATAGTTTCTTCTGAAGGTAAGATCTTTTCTCTCTGCAACCTCCTTTTAGTACAGGAGATGGAATTCAAGCCTCTTTCGGATTGGCTTAACATCCAAAAGAAAACCACTGAAGTACTACAGGCCATGGAAAAACTTAAGGAGACGCTTACTTCGGAGATGATACTCATATTTCCAGACTTCTCTCAACCGTTTATAGTGGCAGCAGATGCATCAGGATCAGGAGTCGGAGCAGTTTTAAGTCAAATGAAAGATGGGTATGAAATACCCATAGCTTACGCCAGTCGCAATTTCAAGAAAGCGGAACTTAATTATTCAACGACGGAAAAGGAATTATTAGGGGTGATTTTTGGAATCCAAATATTTCGATGTTACTTATATGGAAACAAATTTACTATCAAATCAGACCACTGACCGCTTAAATGGCTATTAACTTTGAAGGATCCTGGCCCCATGAATATGATTTCACCATTATTCATCTAAAAGGTAGACTGCACGAAAACGCCGATGCATTGAGTCGAATGTACGATAAAGGTGATAATTACATTGACCTCGAGTTTGAGGAATACAAGGAGTATAAGAAACTACATCAGTTGCCGACTATGAAGAATCTTACAATGAGACGAGGAAGTTTGTTCTCAGCACCAGAAGAGTGGGCCTTGGCGCACTGCTTGTCAAAAAATTTCGCGATGGGAGCTGGAATTGCAAGACAGTTCAAGGAAATCTACGGATCTCTAGACATATTGACCCAGCAAGGACTCCCCGAGCGAAACTTGTATCATGTGGTAACTAAAGATCAGTTCTGGGCGAAACCTTCTTATAGGACCTTGTGGAACGCCTTACGACAATTGAAGGATAGTTGCGAGAAAAATAAGGACCACAGGTTAGCTATGCCAAAAATAGAATGTGGACTAGACAAACTAGACTAGACCGATGTTCAAAAGATGATTGAATTCTTGTTCCACAATACCAAGCCGAGATAACTCTGCCACGAGTTATTTAACTTGTACCAGTTTTTTTTGTGAAGTGTAGAAACAGTCACGGACGGAGCCCTACCTTGTAGGGGCAAACCACACCCAGTAGAAAGGAAGAAGCAGCGAGATAGCCACATCTAAGGTCAACACCATCACTTTGGGAGTAATCTAACTTATGCTCGGCTTCATCAACCAGGTGAAGCTCTCAAATAGCCGGCGATTGTGACGACGACGCAACAAGAAAGTCGAAGTATCTTTTCCGAAACCACCCTTTGCAACACGCGAGGACTTGATTGATCAAGATCACGAGAGTGATTATGCATTGCGGGATGCAAAGTCACAGTCTGATTTTGGCCGAAGGAATTTTAAATTACATGAGCCGACAACCATATTTTATGAGCGGACTGATGAGATGATTTTATGCGATCTTCCGAGTAATGAAGTATATCCCAAGAGTAATAAACCAAAGGGCGTCCATTTGTATCAGGCGTTAGGGTGCGGCTTAGTGATACCAGCCAGTCTATGAACACCTCAACGGTACCTATGGGCCTTCCACCAAATCAGTTGTAGAACGAGTCAAGCCTATAAGCCATGGTTCAACCCCAACAGAGTGTTGATGAATTTCAACGTCCTCTAGTTCTACAAAACTGTTATCCTATCCCACATAGACAGTCTAAACGAATACTTAACCCCAAGGAGTAGTGCGCGAATGTCGGAAACGAACTGTAGTATATACGAGCGCGAACGACTTCGAACCCAGCCCAGCAGTGCAGTCGAACCGACACACATACTATTTTGTCATATATGCTGATTTTGACTTGTTATTTTTTCCATTATTATCTAAAATAAGTTTGTTGGAAAAGTTATGGCATTGTGTATACCCAGAACCTTTTCGTAGGGGAGAGTGATGTAATACCTAGCAAAAGCTATGTATAGTAATCTAAATTCTAACTTCAGGAAAAGATAGATTTCTTCAATTAATAATTTTTTTAAACGCTGGATCTGTCTCCCATACAATGTAAATTACGGCAAGACCGAGAGTGTTTATATAAACACTATTCATCGGAGTGTTTTGAAAAGTCAGATACCTATATCTGTCACGTAGCTCAAGATTGTAAATACGGCCATATCATTATTCCAGCATTTAAATTTTTGTCAATTCATCGAAATATGTTTTCTGATGATCTCCGTTGCACGTGGGCGAGGGTTAGAAAGAACGAGCCGGAGGGGACAATAAATCCTTGATTTCTTCCTGGCTTTTGAAAGAAGAAAAGACAGAGAGTTATTTTGGGGAGGTTTAAAAACTTGACAGTTTGAAGGGTTCTCTTGTAGGACAATCAAGGGCGGTATTTTGTTTTGGGAGATAGTTTTCCTGGGTGGAATCTTTAATTTTGTTATTCTTGAAAAACAGGCGGTTAACGCGATTTTAGGTAGATAGTCGTTTATTCTGGAGCGAAAATCGAGCAGTGTAGTGCAATAGTTCAAATAGAGGACGAGCAGGAAAAAAGGCAGCGGTGAATTAAATATACATGTGTACTAACCATTTTATGATTTTGGGAACGAGTTAGCTATAATAAATTTGTATACAGAGTGGACCTAATAATTGCCATATAGATATTAAGCGGTCAGAAATCGTCGGCCAAGTTAGAGTATTTCGTCACTCTCGTGTATTATAGTAATTTCCGGCGAAGACACAAATATTGAGTTTATTTTTTTTTGAGATTTGGTTATGGTTGTTTTTCAATTTTTTTTTTGTATCTTTGTTCTTTGACTATTTTGTTGTATATTTTTTCTTTATTTCCTTTATTATTGAATATAATTTCTTCTGAAAGTTTTAAGCATAGTAACCTCTTGGAAGGAAGAGTCTGCAAGTTTTTCTTTTTAAGATCTTTTCTCTCTGCAACTAAAGACCTCCTCTTAGTACAGGAGGTCCTCTTTCGGATTGGCCTTACATCCAAAATTTGATGTGGAGAAACTCGCATCTGGTGACAGCTATAAACCCGTAGATGTTTCAGTGGAATACGTATGTAGGTATAATAATAATAGTAAATCCGTTCCGGAATTACTACAGGGGAGGGAAAAGTTTTGTGATTGGCTGCTTGAAAACTATACAGATAACCCAAATTTTATCAACGTTATTGACAGATTCACAAATAGTGATATATTTAATAGGCAGAATACTGGACTGAACAAAATTAATATACAATAATATTAAAGGGCAATTTTCAAGAGAGATTTGACGTCAATGTCTGAGCTAGTGTCGTTGGAAACAAAATAGGAGAATTACATTCACATAGCTTATTTAGAGGTCCGATACCATATATATCTTTATTCTATGCTTATTATTGATCTACAGAATACACTTTTGTTACTTTTAATTCATTAGGTTCCTAGATATACAAAATCACGCATTTGTCTCTGTCTGAACATTCTGAATTTCTCTCAATACATTGGATTGACATTGGAGGAACGTCTTCATTTCTTCTTCAAGTTCTATCATGATTATTCATTACTTTATTATCTATTCATTAAGTTTTCAAATGATGAAATATTTTTTTTAATCAACATACACATAATCCTAATTCTATACTTCTTTAAAATCCCTGACAAAGTAAAAAAACTACTTTTAATTTGTGCCTTCATTTTTGGCTACAATTTTAGGCTAATTTTGTACAAATTGTCAAATTACTTTGTTAGATTACTCGTATTGCTTATACTATCAATCCAACCGATCATAAAATGAAAGATAAAACTGGAACCTCTGGCGTACGATAAATCCAGTAGAAACAATTTTTCCAATCACCAAAAATGCAATATTCTTCTCAATGTTAGTTTCTCCAACCAAGTTGAGGTCTCCAGGATATGAGGAGAACTTCATTTTAAGATAAGAGTACTGCATTTTTGACGATTGAAAAAGTGTTTTTGTGGATACAATTGAAAAATGATAAAAAAAAGCAGCAAAAAATCTTATGATCCGTCAAAAAGCCTACAATGAACAAAGAGTTGAGATAAACTTTACGATTAATTTTTTTTTGTTGATGACAGACGAAAAAGATTCGAAATCACGGCAGTTTCTGCGTGATACGCTAACGGACTGCCCTATATTTTTCTGAAACCTATCTCTTATTACTGATAAGGGCAAGTCATCAGATTCGTCAGAGTCACTCTGCGAACTCAAGTCTTTCAGTGTGTTTATGTCTAGATCGAGCACATTCTCAAGTACACCAGTCTGGTTTTCGTCACCGGGTTCACTATCATTTTCAGAGTCATTACCTGCATATAACTCTTCCATTAATTCTTTTCTTGTGATTCCAACAAGACGAAAGGGTAACCCGTCCTTATACATGATCTAAAACGAAATACAAATTTCTAACCCTATTTGCACCCTAGAGTACTGGATTTATTAAACAATGCAAAATTAGTATAAAAATAAAAAATAATGCATATATCTGAATATTTACTCACTTGTTCTAATCCACGAATGACCTTTTCTGCAATTTGTAAGTTTGTAATAATGGTTTTATATTAATTATTAACAATTAACAAAAGTAACCATGACTATGTCATCTGTCAAAACATGACCCCCTTACTGAAAATCTATTCTGTATTACAAAAGGCAATATAGTAGACTGATGTCACCATCTATTGAAAAGATGACTCGCAGGCATGCTAACTTAATGGTGGTATGCTCAGAAACCCACTGTGCTGCTTGTGAAAATATTTACAATATGTGGTATACCTAATGTAACACCATGCAACGATAAATGTAATTTTGGTGGCACATAACGTGTACCAACATGCTTGAAAGAGTTAACCAGCTGTCGCACCCCTACGAAGTCGAAACTTGTGCGAGCTAAGAATTACCGAGGTCTAACCTTTTAACGTGTGATTCATAACACGGGTTGGACGATAGCAAGTGATAATAGATCGTTCAGACTGGGGCTTGAACCACCGACCAACATGGCAGTCAATTCGAATGAGTGAACAAAGCACCCACGTCTAACCGCCTGGCTACCGACCGACCAAAAATACAAAATAAAAGACTTGCCTACGAGGATGTAATAATATATTTCTTCAATACATATCTTGTATAGTAAAAAAATTGAGTACAAAAAGTATTAGGGCTAAAGCTGCATTAAATACAGCTTCTCAAGGCCACCCTCTTAGTCTTAAGTTCTTTTTATTTGTGTAAGATTGACATGGCTACTCAGAATCTTCACTGAATAATAAATGAAATTTTCAGGAAAAAATGCAGATTGAATAGTATTTCCTTAAAAATGATATTCAAAGGACACTGAACACTTCTTGAATGTTTCATTGATCATCAACAGTAAATTGAAAAATTGAAACCAAGAAGAAATATTCTTCTAACAGAAGGGTGTAAAATGTGCATATTAATTATTCAAATTCAATGAATCAGTCCTTTGAAAGTAAAATCAAAAACCACTTACACACCCCAGCAATTATTGTTTCTCAAATAATAAGAACACTTTACTTCAATCTGATACCTATTAATATTAAAAAATCGCCTGAAAATTTTCCAATTAGACTGAAGACCTTGAATTTCGTCACATTTCCAATACAAAATTGTGAAGAAGTCGATCGGCATGGTATCATTAAATATAAATTGAATTTAGAGCAGATAGATTAGTATAAACTGTGCTGGGGTTTAGTAGTAGGCAAACCTATAAAAAATGAGCTACTTACAGTGAAACTCAGTACTGTAAACTATTGTTTTATATATTTACCATAGATTTTCATCAAGTATTGGCGAATTCTATCATATATTCAAAAAATATATTGGAAGTGATTATGAACAATAAACAATATTACAAAAATAAATAGTGACACTTTGCTGTATAGTTGTCAATATTAATGATAAAACTTCAAAATGTCATTAATATTTCAAGTGGATGAAAGATGCAGGGCTGAGCTTAGCAAACCACTTAGGATCTGCTCGAAATATTTGACATTCTAATGTTCAATTAATATTTCAATAATTATCGGGCTAGATTTCGCCATCCCCCACTGTTGTTTCAATCATATTTCAAATGCTTTCAATCATAATATGAATCTTGCCATAATAACTCACGCCAATGGCAAGGTGAACATTAAAAGACTGATATTTTGAACGAAACAACTGAAATATTGAAAACTGACACCAATTGTTAATTGTATCAAAATTAAACTTTTTCTAAAGTTCGATAAAAAGAGTAAAATAAATTCTAGGAAACATTTTTATTTATTAGTTTTTGTTTCAACTGTTCAGAATACATTTGAGAGTTGAATAGAATTGATTTCATATGTACAGTGGAAGTCATCTGAATTAAATACGTTTTGGTGTCTTTTGTGAAATCTACCAAGTGTCAGTTATATGGTTTACTATACAATCGATCAATGGACTTCTTGACAATTTCAAGTTGGAGTTGCAATATCATTGTTAACTTCAGTTAATTTTTTCAAAGATTTACAAATATTTTTTTGAAAAATTATAAAATACAGAAAAATGGCACAAACTATTATTTCAGACTAAAGATCACTAATCATATAAAATTGATATACTGGGCGATGCTTAAAACTAACACTTTAGATTATTATAAGCACATAAATAATTTGCATTATACTGATCCTGATTTTTCTATATTCAATTTATTATACCCTCCATTTTTACAAAGGTCCAGAGAGTGAATACTTTTAATTCGAATAAGCAAAACACAGTGTCTATGTTATATAATCTGTCCGACTGCCATATAAAACTTCAACCAAAATCAGTAAAGACATTGGCACGAAAGAGGTCATCTAGAATGAATAAATAAAAACAATTTCTGAACTATTTACAACAATAGTTTTCAGGCAGAAAAATAACAGGTAGTTCACAACTACATACACCAATTTCCTTGAAGAACCTTGTAAAAACTTAATAATTGTTAATTCGTATCACTGGAATGAAAAGAGATTTGTAAAAACTTGTAATCTACAATGTGTGCTCCTACTTGTATTCAATACAGTAACCTTGGAGCAGAAACCTGCAACTAAAACTATTTTATACAGGATTATTTGTCACATTTGAATGTTATACATACATAGATTTCCTTGACATCTATATAGTCAATGANCCCAAGAAACAAATATTTATGTTCAGCAACATCAAATGAAATTGAAAAATGAGTCTTGTTCATTAAATTATTCATTTTCAAAAACAGTAGAAGTTTTCTTGAATTTAGTTGCAAAATTAATATTTTTTTTATGTTTTCAGTGGGATTCGGGTTTTCATCTCACTTCTCCATTCAATTTCCATTCCTCCGTTTTTCGGAACTTTAGAAAGCATTTCTGTAAAAGCAATAAAACCTATTCATAACATTTAAAATATTCTGTGAAATAATTGATAACCCCAAACGATCTCTGGTCAACCAAATTACTTCAGAGAATTCCCTTAATACAGTTTTGCCAAAAAGTTCGGCCAAAAATTAATATTTTTGAACCATAAGCACCTGATATGAAGATAATCCAATAGTTTGTGAAAAATTTCTAATACCGTCATGTTTTTAGTGTGTCCAGCACAATTACTAAGTACGTAAAGTTTCACTTAAAGCTAAAGAAAAGTAATTAAGCAATACTGTCTGTAGTATATGAGCCCACCACCAAAGCTATAAGGCACATTTCAGTGGTCTCCTCTAAGGAGTTCCATTAGGAGGTTGAAACTAGGTCCTTCGCCATCTTTCGATTTGATGGTTAACATTTCTTTTCCCACCTAAAAACAAAAATAACAATCAATAAACTTATCAGATAATTCATAAGTGCTAACTTGATAACGTTATATGCATATTGCACTACCCGACTACTAAATACTATTGACTACCTAAATACAAAATAAACCATAAAATTATTATAAGGTGGTTTCTCTGCACCCATAACAGTGGAGTTTCTCAAGTCATATGTCATAATTAATGCAAGCACAGACTTTTAAAAGATCACAAAATATTGTGGTAGCCACTTCACCAGAATTTATATAGATAATTTCAATAACTTCATAAAAGACGTGAACTGACATAAAGTGAGTGTATTTTATTCAACTAGGTATGTGAGTTTTCTTCGTCTCCTGAAGATGCCAACTTGGTTGGCGTCTTGGCACAAGTTGAGGGGTATTGCATTTTTGGTGACTGGGAAAGATGTTTGTTTTGGATTAATTGGAAGACCCATTCAGATTCCTCTCTTTATGTGAAGAAATAAAAATGGCAGTTTTCAGGGAAAAATTGAGAATTATCATTGCTTCTAGTACAACTGAAAGATGCAGATTTGCAGATAATCCATCATATGATATTTAGAGTTTCAATCAGTTCATAAAAAATGGTGTCGTACAATATTCGGCTATAATCAATTTCCTATTTTCGATATTGAAGAACTAATACTATGGATCAGAAAAATATTATTAACCGTGAATAAAATTTCAATAATGTATAGAAAAATTGAAAAGAATAAAAAAGAATAGATAAAACATTTCAAAGCTAGCTTCTTCATAAGATTTTGATTGTTGGTATCTACAATCATTTATGGGTGATGGATTATTTGGATTTTTTTAAATAATAGAAGTCCAAGCCTTCTACACTCACTCCTCTCACCTCACCATATCTTACTACTAATTTCCTTCTCAACCTTATTTAATGACTCTTTATTATTTAGGGTAAAAAAAAATTTCAATCACCTTTCTCTTGCCTTGCAAGAGAATCCCAACGAATATAAGTTCCGAGAAGATGTGAGAAGACCTATCATACCCTGGATGAATATCATCAAGATTCGTTCCACTGAAAACCCTTATTAACATATTTTAACACATTATACTTATTATACATGTTTTCATGTTTTTGTTCTGTTAGTGGTTAACGGAAAAACAGATTTTGATACAGATTTTTGAAACAGTTTTCAGTTATTTTTACATTGATGCTATAAGATATCATATTTCATATTTTACAAGCTTTTTCAATAAGAATGTACTTTAATGAAATGAATGAAAAGACTTTTGTCTAATTTCCACGGTTTCGGGTTTCATCCCATTTCATTATTATCATGAATTTCCACAAAATAAACAAGTCATCAATGATACGAATGAAAATGTACTTTTTCAGACAATAAAGCATATTCTTTCTCCCTTCCAAACATCTCACATTCAGCAAGAAATATTATCCAACGCAATAATAGAAGCCATGATATCAATCCTTAGCTTTTTCTTCAATACTGTTAAAAGTATTTTTATGCTACTTCATTGAAAGACCTAATTAACACCAAGAATCAAATAATATAGGAGTGATAGTGATCTTGTTTGTACAATTTTGTCTCAATACTCTTCAATTANTTATCTACAGTTAATTCGGTAGTTTGCGAAACTTGAGTACAAAGTTGTCAGATAATAGTCATGCATCACTGGAATATATAAATTTTGAAACATGACTTTGAATTCATTACCAGTTCTTCCACCAAAGAAAGACGTGACTTCAAAGAAGAAAGTAACACTCAGCAGCAAGACCATCAAAGTTTTCAGCTTTTGATAAGCCATGGGCTATGTATAACACTGACGAATTGAGACAGTAGCCAACACTAATGGATGGTTAAGATAAAACATGCGACTGCGCTAATTCTAACACTGTGACTTCAAGCATTAGAAACACTGCAGAACGTTCCAAGAAGAAGCCAAAACAAATATCAAAGAATATGGAAGCTCTGGAAATGCGATGAGAATTACAAAATTAAAGCAGAGATGGGTTTTGTGACTGCGTGCGGAAAAGACGTGTTTTCAATTTGGAAGTTACTTTTTTAGTCATGATTAAAGCCAAGGACGAATTGTAAAAAAAACGTAGGGAGAACATTTGACAATTACCATGGAAAATTTTTACCTTCAACCTAAAAACGTGAAATGATTTAAATTAAGGGTATGAATAAACTAGGCACATAATTTTTCAATATACAAAAACAGCTAATAACTTCACAGAGAACGGGAGTGTGAAAAATAGCGGTTATATATATATATCATTTATATTTCAAAAAATGAACTCGCTCTAAGGGATCATTAGAAATGTACCAAAATCATTCAGTTAAGATGAAATAACGCCCTCCTTTCAAAATCCTATGCATTAAAAGGTTAAATGGAACAGTTCGTAAATAACACTGTATTTCAGGATTTTGGCTTTCTACTTCTCCATCTTTATACAAAAAAAGTGGGAATATTCCAAAGAAAGGAAGGAAGCAATCAATTTCAAAAAGGGAACTTTGTATAAAGATGTGTAGATCGTGCAAAGAAGTTACTTTCAGACACATACTGAAAGAAAACCCATTTCGAAACAGCTACTTTCATTGAATTACACGAATAAAAAACTGTCGAAACAAATACTTTTATACGAACACTGAATTATACAATTTTTTGTACTTAAATTAAATATTTTCGAAACAAATCAAAACAAATTGAATTATACAAAAAAATTGTATAATTCTTTGTTCATATAAAACTTTTTGTTTCGAGAAAGTATTTTTCTTTCGTGTAATTCAAAATTTATATAAAGGTAGCTGTTTCGAGAGGGCTTTTCTTTCAGTGTGTGTCTGAAAGTTACTTATTTGCATGATCTTCATATACCTTTTTGAAATTGATTGCTTTTTTAGAACTAGTTGATTTTACATCTGCAGAAAATACTCAAAATCTCAAATCATAGGAAGAAGGAAACCACCAAGTTATAATGAAGTTCATTATTTTTCATAAATTGGCCTTAAACCAGTTGAAAATGCAGAGGAATAATGTAATATGATAATTATGTAATATAATAATAATTCTGAAAAAGGGGGTTGGTTGGGTAACAGGATCAATAAAAAAAAAACAATTGTATTCTTGCCAAAGTTTCGAATTTAATTAAATTCTTCTTCAGGGCTCGAAAAGTAATTTTTTCGTGTTGATGATAATACTATTTTAAAAATCATCAGACATATTAGATACGTATTTGAAAAATAAAAATAAAAAACACATTGCAAACAACAAATTTTCGAGACAACACATAACCGATAATGTGACAATACATCACAAATAATGTGATATTATTTTTAATATTGTTTTTTTGTAATAGTCGTTATAGACAGAATGATTAATTGAATAGTAAATAGATACAATAAATAAAAAGTATTCTTTTCAAAAAGCATAAATATAATCAGTTTACTCTATTTTCGAAAGAATCGACCATAATCTCCCAACAACACTTATCACATTCAAATAACTCCACGTACTATTATTGGTCAACAAAATAAGTCCGAATACCATTATTAGCCAACATAGAAAGAGATTGAAACAATCCTAATTGGTTTTGGTTAGGATCAAGCAGAAGAGTCATTTTGGAAGTAATAATTTGAAGAGGGAGGGGCAATGTTGCGAATGTGGCAAGTGGAAAATCCAACTCTAACAGTAGTTAAGCGACTCTTTTTGCGTTTAATTACACAAAATGCGTGTAAATTTGATGCATTTTGTGTCGTTTTAGCTATGACAGCTATTTACAAGCCAATTTGAGAGACTGGCTAATGAAATTCAAAACCAAAGAAGCAGAGAGGATGCAAATGGTGTCATATTTATCTCTCTAGAATTATTCTGACATCAAGATTTGAAATAGCCATCTATCCAATATAAACCTGAGTTCTCACAAGTTAGTATAGTATCTTAACTCTAACATTGGTTTATACTTTTGTATAACTGTGTATATATAATAATAATAAAGGTCTTTCATTAATTTTCAGTTATATTCATACATGTGAACTAAAAAAAGTAAATGGGCGAGATTCAGTATGGCAATCGGCACCGGAAGGTCTCAAAGTATTCATTAAATAATTATATTGGTTTAGATTTAGGCATTTCAAACATGTTTAATGAGTTTTTATTTCTGTTTGATCGTTTTTGGGTCCTTAATATGAGACATTAACACAGTGCCACACTGCAAGTTCGTAATCGAGCTCTATGGAAGTTGGAATGTGACGTTGTGCAAGCAGTTTTGTTAGTCATTTGTTCTTATGTTATCATTGTGAGAAAAAGAGTAGAACAAATATGTAAGATCCAAATAGTGATGTATTGCATGTTCCAAACATTGCATGTTTGACATGTATTTTTTATTGGGTGAAATAAAAGTTTACAATGTATATAATCAATTAATATTTTACTGAATCAAACTGCATCTAGAAAATTTTTCTGTGAAATATTAGGTACATTGAGCATAAATGTGAGCGAACATTTGTGTCCAAAGGTAGGAGATGTTTACGCAGATTGCGAAGAACTGAAAATCATGCGTTTGCCGCCGAATTGAGACATTTTACAAAACCAAGCCATCCTCTTAGAAAATGTCTCATGAATGCTACGCCGTCTTGATGATACATAATGTCACCGGACAGTGAGGCACAGCGTTACTGCCAAGTCATGCTCAACGTGTTGAAGGCCTTGAATAGTTTCTCTGTATTCATTAATTTCATTGAAGTTGAACTCATAATATGTGGTGATTCGATGTTCACTAATGCTGTGTTAGTTGCAGAAGAAAATCTTCTAATGCAAATTGTTTAAATTCTTCTTCTGATGACAGTCAGTCGTTTCTGGGACTTCGAGATATAACCTTCATCCTCACAGTCAATACATATACCACTGATGATGTTTGCTACAATAGCAAATGAAACATTTGGTATTTTAGGTTTCACTCCACCACGCTGTACCAGCCCGGATTGTTTTATCTTTGTGACTCTGTATGTGAAAGAGAGTGTTCTTAGATAGTTATAAATATTGTAACTGTGTTATTGATTTTATTTATTGTGACAATTTGTTCCTCTAATTTTATGTCCTAAGGATGCAAATAAATTTCGCAAAAAGTTGACATATTACGAAAACTCTTTTTCTCTCAGAAATCGTTTTGTTCATAATTTGAAAAATTTCCCGCTCATAATGAGATAACTTGGAGTCCCACTGATGACCCCCGTATTGTACTTAATAATGAGGGGAATGTTGAACCAAGCTGGAAAGGTAGGGCCCAAATGGAATAAAAGGTCACTAACATTTTGTTTTGAATAGAAGTAAATACACTTACCAGAAGTAAGGAGAAGAATAACTTTCATTGCTATATATTCATACTGATCAACCCTCAGTCTTCTAAGTTGCTCTGTAAAATTCAACATTCTCTCTATACAAGGCTGCATGCCCATTTCCCTAGCTTGTGCAAGAGTTATGCTTTTTCCAAGAGATACTCTTATCTCGCCTGGAGTAGACATTGATCGAAAGCAGCATGAAAATAGAAGGAGCTCACACCAGGAGTTGATAAGCAAACAAATTTGGTCATCAATCTGAAAATTTTTTTGAAATTATTTTGTTTTCATAAGCAAGTATTTTGTATGTATAAATCTAATTGGAACACTCATTAAACTGGCTGATCTCACTTTTTAGTTTAACATAGCTCCATAAAAAAATGTAATACTTTTAAAAATGGTATGTCCTTTTTTTATTTCAAAGATGAAAATTTTCCTTGTTTATTTGAAGATAAATAGTGAAAATATATTTGGTGATATAACAAAACCCTACCACATGAGTTTTCTTAATTTTTTTAGGTGAATAGTACACATTATATTGAAGTTTTTTGTCCATGTAGGTAAAATGCTAATAGTTTTTAGTACTCTTGAAGGAATCCAGTTATTTTGAATCATCAACATAATGAATACAGGCAATCAACTAAACAAGTTGAGCCTAAATTTTAAAAGCACTTCACTTATAAAATAAGGTTCACTTATAAAATGGGTTGATCTACTATCAAATCCATGCTTGAACTTGGGAGAGCATTAAATAATTGAAATTGTTTTTTTGTCTAATTTCTATTCAAAATAAGTACTTTGTAGAGTAAAGTCTATTTGATATCTTACCACTTCATACAGTTCAAAAACTAGTAGATATAAAAATTTTATTGATCATTTCATACATAGAATGAAGGTGAAAATTTTCAGATATAAACCAAATGAGTGAATAGTAAATATAACATTGGTATAGTGAGTATGAATACGGCATAAAGTGTGCAAAAAAATTATTTTACTCGATAGTGATTTGGCCAAATTTACTCACACTGTGATATATGCTCATAACTATGATTTTTTCCAATTCATTCCTCATTGTTTTCATTTTATATTTGCTTAAATTACTGAGAAGATAATTCAATAACTTCTTGTTCTGGATGATAACCAAAATTTTAGTAAGTATTAATGTACGTATAAGGAAGCAAATGAGTTGTGATTGACATGCACTATATGTTGAAGTGGTATTGAGAATACTGTGTGACGTATTTCCAGAACGTGAATGGGAATAAATTTTGTGAAAAGTAATCAGCTTTTTAATACTTATGATGCACTGTTTGGAACCTTTGGTGTAGTAATGAATATTACTGGAGTTTTTTTTGGGAAAAAACTCCAGTAATATTAAGTTTTTTAATAGCAATATCTCTCTCAACAACCAAGCTGTTAATCGTTTACATATATGATCGATGTGGCTGCCAAATTTCAATTTCTAATGAATGTTATGTCTTTAAATTCTTCAATTTTTTTTAGTTTTCAAGTATATTTCACCTACATTTGTTAATAAAGCCCTTCTTATTACAAACGGTATTGATATATAAAAGGGCAACTGTTTGCTCAAAGAGAAATGTAAATTTACTGCTGATGTCAATATTGACTGAGTCATTGATATAAGTGTAGATCAAAGGAGTTGGAATGGATCCTTGCGGAAAACCAACACCGTCTATGAAAGTCAATTTATTAGGAATTAACTAGACTTCTCCATTTTTAATTCAAACACATCTATATTATCCTTCAAGAGTGAAATTGAAATATGGTGCTCTATAATAATATCCCCGATCATGTATTTTTAATGATTTCTTTCTTTTTTTCACGTTTCGTTATATTTCAGTCCTTAGTCATAAAATAAATTTGTTCAGAAATATAAACGGAGTATTCCTTTTTGAACTCTTGTTGAAGTAAAAAGTTATTGAATGAACTCTTAACTGCTATTTTTATTAATGCTTTGTAAAAACGTTAAAGGCTGTTTTTAGAAAGAAATACCTTTTTTCTACAAAAATGACATTACAAGAATTTTGGTAAAAAGCTGATAAAAAGTTACTTTCTTTGTGTTGACTTGTCATCAACTTCTAGGTCTTCTATATCAAATTTAAAAAAGTACCTAGCATCAACCTCTATAATCTCTTTGTTTGAAGGTGGTTGACAATGTTTCGTGGTTGATTTAATCAGTTCAGACTTCCATTGTCATGGTCCCTGTCAAGAATATAGAAAATAACAAGGTTGAAAATATGCTTAATGTCCACCAATATAGATATTAATGCTTTCTCAAGACACGTACAACATATTGCTAATAGTTAAAATTTTACACAAGAAAAATAACGTACCGAAATATTTTTGAATAATGGAAGACTCTTACACCACTTTACAATCTTGTAAAGTCTGTGGTCAGCAATATTGCAGAGATTCGCAACGAAATCTGGATTCGTATCTGTTGAACCAGCCAATGCTGTCCCGGCCAATAGTGGATGGGTAGAAAGATTATGTACTGCCCCGCTAGATCCTTCTTTCCCCAGATGCCCTTCGGTACTCAGCTTGTTTAGTTCCGTTTCATTGTAGTGCCATAGGTGCTCCACATCCATTATTTCCTAAAAATAGAATTAAAAGTACTTTTTTGATTGATTTGTGAACAAAAATGCAGAATCTTAGAAAATATTTCAATGAATATTTGGACTGCAACTGAATTTTCTGCAAACAATATTTTTTTGTTCAAAAAAAATTCCATTAACATCTGCAAGGGCCAGGGGGAACAAAGATGGAAGTCACTTTTTCGTCGATTTTGAGATATTAGCGCTATCTAGGGGTTATGAAGGAGTACTATCATCTGGTAGAACAACAAGGGGGAAAAAAAGATGAGAATCGTTCGAAATGTGCATGAAAAGATTCGGGGTAAGGGGGAAAATAGATGGATGTCACAAGCGCGGATGGAAGAAAGATGAATGTCAATTTAAATGTCCGGGCCACCGGTAGAGACCAGCAGTCCCATTGGTCCTTCTCGAGACCAACAATCAGTCGAAAGGGTAGGGAAGCTGGATTCCAAGCCTGAACGAATCGAAGATGACCTTCTGAGAGACCAGCAGTGTTGCGGAACCTTCCTCGCAATCAGCCTATCACTTGTTGAATTACGTAGTGCTAAATTCATATTGTTTTTGTGGCTTATTGTTTTTCCTGAATTGTTAGTGTATAAAAAAATAATATTGTATACCAGCATCATGGATACTCTGTATTCTGCAGAGAGTAGTGATGAGGTGGGGAAAGTTCCGACCAAACTGACAAAAAGGAGGAAACCGACTGGGAGAATGAATGAGGTTATGAAGAAACTAAGCCTCTCTTCGCATGAACCAGGACCTGACTGTAAGTGTTCTCGGCTTAAATGTTTTCAAACTGTATCTGAATTTGCGAGGATGACATTGATAAAGGAGTTCAACGAAATTAAGTCCTACGACGAACAAAGTTCCTTTCTTTCTGGACTCATTAATGTGCTACCCGTGCAGAAACGAAAGAGCATGGAAGGCAGTAGTCGCGAAAAAAAGGCTTCTTACGCTTTTAGAGTGAGGGTCGATGGGACCAAAAGAGATTTACCTGTTTGTTTCAAGGCGTTCACGTTTATTTTTGGTATTACGCCTAAACGAGTTCAGACCATTCAACAGTCATTAACTGAGAAGGGTTGCAGTCCCAAAGATAATAGGGGTTAACATGCAAATCGACCTCATAAAATCACGGATAAAACTCGTGATCTTGTGATGGATTTCATAAATTCGCTGAAGGGACGGAAATCCCATTATTCTTTAAACGATTCGGACAAAATATATCTACCCGAAGATCTTAATTTGTCCAAATTGACCAAGATGTATAATGAAATTCACAAAGAGAACATCGTACATTATGACACATTCCGATCAATTGTCAACAATGAATTTAATATATCGTTCGGCTATCCGAGAAAGGATATCTGCAGCACGTGTGACGCCATCAGGTCTCAGAAATCAGCGATTGAATCAGGAACCGCAACCACCCTTCCAGACTCGCAAAAAATATTTGATCCCAAAAAGGATATACAAAAATTGGAAACTGAGCACAAACTTCACCTATCGAAAGCTGAAAAATGTTATTCAATTAAAAGGAATTTCAAAAAAATTAGTAAAAGAAATCATGCTGTTGCTGATGCCATTGCCATGGACTTTCAGAAAAATCTACCTACCCCCAACATAACGGCCAACGACGTTACCTACAAAAGACAGCTAACATCCACGTTATGTCTACCGGAGATGCAGCTTTTTACACGTACGATGAGAGCGTTACCCGTAAAGGATCCGACGATGTTTGCTCCATGCTCGATAATTACGTGACCAATTTTTTGTCTGAAGAAGTTCGTAATCTCGTCATATTTTGCGATTCCTGTACTGGGCAGAATAAAAATTATATCCTAATTCGATACCTTCATCATTTAGTGACTGAGAAGCATCGTTTCGACAGTGTTGAAGTATATTTTCTCATTCGAGGGCATTCATACCTCGAATAGTGTTACTAGTAGAACTTTTCTAAATAACATGTTGTATTTTTACCAATGAATGTTCTGTGTATTCTTGAATGAATTCAATATTTTTTTATCTTTTCTGTATGCTGATGGACTTGAGGCTATTTTAAATGCATTCAAATTTCAATTGTGCAATTAATACAAAAAATCCCATTGGTTGCAAACTTGAGGATCACAATTTTAATAACATTGATGATATACTCATAAACTCTTTATTTGGCTTCACCAAAGCATTTTCAGTAATATATTCATGTTTGATAAGTTATTAATATTTATTGCTATATCACAAGTACCTCATAATTTTTTATATACATTTCTGAATAAATATGTTAATTTGATCAATAGCGTAAATTTCTGAAGAGAGTGGTGTGATGACTGCTATCTAGGACCTTCCAAATTATTTTTTTAGTTTTAAGTGTACATTGTCTACATCATTATTATCTTCCTTTTTTTCAATACAACCATTCAACATTTTTGCCCCTTATTTTATTCTCAAGTTTTTAGTTTCTAATTTTGTTACTCAATTCTTCTCATTCTGTTTAGTTCATTTAGTGCCTTAGTATTACACGGTAATATGTACTCCGCCATTTTGTGGCTGCGGCCATCTTGGATTTACAATGATACAGAATGTATTAAATTGTATTGTCATCAAAACTAAATGAGTGTACCAAATATCAGATCAATCTGTCAACAGAAAGGGATCAAACTTTGATGACTAAATGTGACTCAAACAAACAAATGAGGCAAGCTAAATAAAACCGTTTAAAATATCCCATTAGTTGCGTTACCTGCAATAATGGTGGGACACCTTGGGAACCTGGATATGTAGTTCTTTTTTGATGTGAGAGACTGGAATCTGGAGGTTCTAATTTCACGGTAAGCCCTGAATGGCTTTCACCCATTCCTTGTCTCAAGTCAGTCGTACTCGCCCTGAGTTCTGCATGGTTGGTTAAAGACGGTGGCAAAGAATATGAACATTGATATGTTGACCTTCCTCCTCTAGTTCTATCTTCACGAATTGCTATTCAGAAAAAAGTATCTACATACAGAAATATGAAAACTGTTGTGTGTTTTTTTTACCAACACATCATTGAAAAACTATGAATTATTGAATAAATGGTGAATGACTATTAGTTATTTCTAGCTNTTGCTTTCTTTCGAGCATTATCAATTGAATTTTTTTCTCGTTCAAAACAGAATTCAACTCTAAACTTCTATCTTTATCTTCAATTTGGTTGCATATTAAACCATTATCCAAGATTATATCAAACGTTTCAATGGAAAATTCATCGTTTTCTGCGACTTCTATGTGGTGAATTCGCTGTATGTACTCCTTCTAGTAATTGCTCTAACTCTTCTTCTGTTTCCAGCTGTTCAACAGATTCCATAGGTAAATTTGATGTTTTCAAACCCAATTTCATTCTTGTTCCGAATAAAGCTTTGTACCCTCATGAAAAGCTCTATTTTTCATCAGTTGAACATATTTTAAACCTTTTGACCACTTGGTCACAATACTAGCACTTGCGATTTCGTATTTTGTATGCTCAAATTTACCAAAACGACATGGTCATTGAGAATTCAATGTACATTTCCCTTATTTGAAATTGTAAATGTTAGTTGAATGCACATTACCCAAACGAGGAGGCAAATGTGCACATTTACCTATAAATGTGTACATTTGCCACAATATCTACTTTTACCGTAACAGATACATTGGATACATAATAACTTGAATAAAAAAGTGTTTTAATGATTTTTCAGCACATAAAACATTGCAATTATTGATAACTCAAAAGTTATGAGAAATGAAAATTTATATGTTTTTTTACACTTTTATTTGTAACAATATACTTAAACATTTATGTAATATATAAGTTTGAAAATGTCCTTATAGGACGAAAATACAGTAACTTTAGTTACAAATAAAAGTGGCAAAAACATAAAAATGTTCAATTCTCATTTTTCATGATGATCTCCTAACACGTAGTAACGGCTACATGCATAAAGTTATCTAATTATCTTATTTTATATATTTGACAGATACCCATTGTTTTTAGCTACGTTTTAGTTAACATTTCTCTAAATATCTAATTTTCCTTTACTTAGAGAGAACGAAAAATTGTTCTGAGCAAAATGAATTGTTTTAAACTTTTACATGACCTTAAGTATACCGGGTGACATCGAAAGCATTGTATACGGCGCCTTTCGGTTGTGTATGAGAAAAGAAATTCGAAGTTCTGATTCAAATTATAGTTCATCTAAACCGATATTTTTAATGGTGAAGCACTTGAACATTTTATACAGGGTTAACCGGAAATGAACCCAAGTCAAGAATCTCAAATAAAACCCTGCCCTGTATATTTTTTTGATAATTTATTCGTATATAAAATTCTCTTCAACTATATAACACATGTGGTCATACTCAAACAAACAAACGAGGCAAGCTAAATAAAACCGTTTAAAATATCCCATTAGTTGCGTTACCTGCAATAATGGTGGGACACCTTGGGAACCTGGATATGTAGTTCTTTTTTGATGTGAGAGACTGGAATCTGGAGGTTCTAATTTCACGGTAAGCCCTGAATGGCTTTCACCCATTCCTTGTCTCAAGTCAGTCGTACTCGCCCTGAGTTCTGCATGGTTGGTTAAAGATGGTGGCAAAGAATATGAACATTGATATGTTGACCTTCCTCCTCTAGTTCTATCTTCACGAATTGCTATTCAGAAAAAAGTATCTACATACAGAAATATGAAAACTGTTGTGTGTTTTTTTTACCAACACATCATTGAAAAACTATGAATTATTGAATAAATGGTGAATGACTATTAGTTATTTCTAGCTCTTTTTCTCGGCTTTTTGACCTTTCACAATATGAAAAATGAACAATGCCAAATCCACAGAGGATCTGTTGAAGTGTAATAAAAAAATAATAATAACAATGATAAGTTAGTCACTAAATCGATTATTCTGTTTATATTATTTAGTAACTTTTTATTACACATCAACAGATTCTCTCTTGATTCGGATTTGTTAATTTTTCAGATTGTAGAAAGTTGAAAGGCCCAGAAAAATGATAGCACAGTCTAGTTCACAGGTTGAAATTCGTGCTAAATTGGCAAACAGCTCCTAAAACAAATATGATTCACAATTTGGCACTTTTCTAAACGGTAGCTTTTTTTCGGGCACCTCAAAAACCATCCAAAATGAGTTTATAGACAGTGTGGCATATATTATTAAGGAAAATATAAGCAAGGAGATTGAAAGTGTTTCTTTTTTGGGTGGGAAATTAATGAAACTACCTAAATTGCCTGTACATCACACCTCTCAATAGTTTTTAGATATGTCAAAGATGGTAATGTGGTAGAACGTTTTATCGGTTTTCATGATGTTTCATCTGTGCGCACAGCTGACGATGATTTGTTTAATTTTTTAATTTGTACGTGTGACACCTATAATTTTAGACAAAAGTTAATTGCGCAAACCTATGATGGGGCTGCGGTCATGGCCGGCCATTTAAATGGTTTACAAACTAAAATAAAGTCCACAGCTCCCCAATCACTTTTTACGCATTGTCATGCTCATGCCATGTATTAAGCAAAGCGTTTAACAACATAAAAATTTTCGCGCCTCCGGCGCGCTTTTCTGTAAGTATATAGTCTTTATGACTTTAGCCTCCCCTGTTCTCCAATGCACGAGCCGTCACTGACTGTGCTCATTAACTTACAATGATATAGAACAGCTTTGACACTTTCACTTTCTCAGTGGTGCAGAATAATGAACAGTTCAGGATCTTCGTCACTTTTTGTAGTACAAGAGGTACACTTCATTGTTCAAAAAATATCACTTCCTAATGTATTGAGTTTTCGAGATGAATGATATTATTGAAAAATAATAAAAATATGTAAAAAATTTCAATTTCTGAATTTTCATTCAAAAATTCAGCAAATTTTGGCGATTGTTTCTCGCTACATCGAGTTGTTTGACAATATTTATATAAATAACGTCATAGTTCCGCCATAGTGAATTTCGAGAAAATGGCTCATATACATCGTCATTTTGAATGGAAACAACATGTGTTATACCGTTGAAAAGATAATTTTATTTTTGAACAAATAGCCAAAGAAACTATACAGGGTTCTATTTAAATAACTTAGCTTGGGTTTTCATTTCCGATCAGCCCTGTAGACATTTTCAAGTGTTTTTTATTATTATTAACACGCTTTTATTATCTTCACCTGTATGTATGTAAGTATATTTGTTTGTTTGTAACTCTCAAGCTTGCGATCTATATTTGACAGAATTATCGACATTATTGCTTGATCTATTCGCGGGCAGATGGCGCTGTACGTAACCTCCTTGATATAATTCGAACTCACTTTACATGTATTTCTTCATTTGAAAAAAATGCCTTCTTTTTTCATCCCAACTTGTTAATAACCATTGTATTTTATGTGTCCTGTGATATCATTGAAACATATTTTTCTACACGATATTCCGAATCCAATGATACATTTGTAATTTTATGCCTATTTACCAAGAATTTCAACTTGTGAACCATACTAGCAAGAAATATTAACTTCACATGAAAATTATTTCAAAGAATGTGTGTATAATTTTCAATAAGAAAAACTAATAACTTCATCCGTCAATATAAACAAATCAAAAAAAAAAACAATATGAGTAGGTAATCAGGCTGACAATTTTAATTAGTGAATCAAAGCAGTTCTTAGACAAAATATCTTCATTCACTACCAAATAAGATTCCAATAATAATCTAATTTTTATTTTTTCCATATTATCACACACATCTGAATCAAATTTTCGACTCTACTTGCAATTTAAAATATGCTATATTAAATATTTTTTTCTGTAGCCTCAAAATGTATCGTATATATTGCATTGGCAGATTGCATAGAAAAAGCAATCAATGATGATTATCTTACCTTCCAGTTTCATCCCACATTGAAGACATTTTTCGAACCGACAAGCTGGGCACTTTTTTCTTGTTGCAACAGTAACAGGACACTGGGCTCCTCTGAGACAAACATAATTTTTTCTATTTTGAACAGTCCTTTTGAAAAAACCTTTGCACGATTCGCAACTGAAAATGCCGTAGTGAAACCCGGATATTTTGTCTCCGCAAATGGGACATGGGCTGTTTATGAGCTGCTGCCTTGATATACCAGGTTGAGCTGGCAGTGATGTGTGAATGAGTCCGGTTTTATCTTCAGTTTCCTCAAGAGATTCTTGTTCAACAGTGTATTGCGTATTCTCATCTTGTAGACTTCGATACAGTAGGTTATGATGATGAAGAGGGCTATTGTGGATACTGTGCATATGCCTACCCTAAAAACAATATGAACAACAATAAATGAGAAAATATCTAGAAGAAATAGTTGAGATAACATTATTCAAAACAAGGCAAGTATATTGCACAAGATTTTCAATTGTTCCAGACAATGGTAAAGATTCCTTGTTAAATTCGTCTCACAAAAATGTTTTTTCTTTTTTTGTTAATTCAATAGCTAAATATTAAAACATGAAAGCTTGGGGATAACAATACCATTACATAGTAAAATATCAAGTTTTATCCTGTTATAGCAGACTCAGTGGCCTTCCTATATAGAATCTTGTTACGTGAGGGAGCCAGAAACATCATGTTTTCTATAAATCAAACTGATTTATAAGAAAATAAATATTACGAAATGAAATAACGAAACAATAATCTCTCCCAACAGTAGGTTCTGGTAAATATCTGCCGTAAAACAACTACTTCCCCGGCTAATACCTCACTGGGAATTGAATTGTATCTGACAGATATCTATGCAATGTACCACTGCTGCTCTGCTGTTACTAGTTAACAAATATTTCTCTTAGACGAAGGTTTCATACATGAGTCGCGTCGTAGGCAGTCGAGTCCCAGGCACTGCTTGACTCGGATCTCTGTTGCACTGATGCAGGTAATACCTCGAAACCGGTTTGTAGGTGATCTATACTCCAGGAGTTCCCCATTTTATTTGGCTATGAAACCCTAATTGATGGAACCATAGCAGGTCATTTCGATAACTAAAGTGTTCACCTAGTAGTTTGAATATTTTCATGTTACTACTCGAAGAAAGAAAAAAATACGGATGAAAAATAATCATTATAATGTAACAACTATTTAATGTGGAGAATGAACTTTTTCAACATATTTTCTTATAATCTTACTATAATTAGCGTAAGCGTAAGCTGAAAATCCAGTCTTGCATCAGTAAGTCGTCACAAATGGAAGCAGAACTGAGATAGCTTTTTCAACAATTGCAGGGGATTTAGATTTCTGATAGAGCGCGCGGAACCCTTGTGAGCCTTCTACAGATACCCAGGGTTCCGCGAACCACCATTTAGGAATCTAGAATCTACTTGATTGACTTCAGCGTGGTCCTGCTGTTAGATGAACTGAGTAGATACTTTGGGAGAGAGATGAATGTTTCGAGATATTTATTTTCTTATACGTATGTATCTCTCCTTGGTACAGTTTTCAGATTCATTTTGATTTTTGATTCAGTGTTACCTAGATATAAATTATTGAGTCCAGTGGCGGCTTAAGATCCAGTTTTGCCAACATTATTGACCCAAAAATGTAGGCCACTGACGTTTCTTGTAACGTTATTTTTTCTTGGTTGAAACATTTGAAATTGAAACTTTTTATCCCTCAGTTTGTTTTCGTAGCTCACATTGTTTATTGGAAAAAAATAAAATAGGGAAAAAATGTTAAACGTGCATCACAGGTATTAAACGGTTTTATTGAAAAAAAAATAAGATAATAATGATGTAGATAATGTACTAAAAACTAAAAAATATTTGAAAGGTGAT